TATGCCAAGTTTCATTTCATCAGTTTCCCTAGATATGTTAAGAGACCTTGAAGTGCCTGCTGAATATCTGAGATACAGGCATCCAAGTGAAGACAGTCCTTGAGTACGTTACATTTATAGAAGAATAATAGATTTACACCAGACTCTATAACTTTACTGGCATTGAAGTATAAAACCAGCTGCTCTCTAGAGATAAGAGAGGATTAAATGTACGGCCTGATACTCACCATCTGTAGTACCTGTCCAAGAACATCTAAAAGCTTCTCCAAAATTTGGAATGCAGTTAAAAATGCCCCCTTTTTTTGTTCCCCCTCACAATACCCACATTTTCTGTAGAGAAATAAAGACTAGTGTGGGATGCATGCAGAAAATTGAGTGGGAACGTGGACACTAAGACACTGCAAATAACATGGACAGCCTAAAGGGTAGCATTAGGTAAATCTTCCTATAAGTCACTGCCTAAGCAGAGATGACAAGAGCAAAGTAAAATTAATGGTGATTGCTGCCTGTCCTGACGTGCACCACCTACACTACCCCCCCTCTATGGTATTTGCCACAAACCGCCTAATTGAAACAGCCTTAGCGGCAGATGGGTTGTCTGCTTTGCAGCAGGGCGGCACAGAGCAGATCTTTTTTTAATATTTTTTTAGTTATCTGTTTTTGCCAGCTTGTTTGTATCTCAGGGCATCTTTTGTAGAGCTTAAATACTATGGCAGAGGTTCCATTCCCCTGACATGGCAAGGGGGCAGTGGAATTCAGCCATTCCACCTTGGTACAGCTGTACAATTGGGTTTATAATTCAGTCTTCAGAATTTTAGCATTTAAAATGACGTAGTTGATAGGTGTCCACTCAAGTCCCAGTGGTTATGTCAAACTGTGATACTAACATGCCAAGTATTGGTTTGTAATTACAACCTGTTCAAAACTGGAGACCCATGAAGTTTATTTATTTTTCATTTATAGTATATAAAGATCTATACTATTTTAGTTTGAAAAAAAAAAATACAGTTTCATTGATCACAGGGCTGTGGTGCAGGAGCTGTGGACTGTTCCACAGCCGTTTTGCAAAAGGAGCTACAGATGCCAGAATGAGGTGATACTAACTTAAGTTTCCGCGGGAGAGAAAAGGTAAATAAGTTGTAACAGTTCTCCTGAAAGGATTCAACTTCATTATCCATATTTCACAGTATAAACTAGAGTCACAATAAAAACTGGATGAAGTTTTGGGCCAATTTTCTATCCTGCCTAGATGCTGCTACCAATTTCTTCTAGAATCCATGCAAACAAATTTATTTTCTCGCCACTCCCAGAGCAGCAGCCACTAGACCTGCTCCAGCACAGCACGGCTTGCTGCCCAGCCTGACATCCTCTTAGTATGGCTCTAACTCCCGGCAACTTCAAAAGTGCAAGGATTACAGACACTGAAGTCACTGAGGCACTTCAGGAAAAGACGTGCCCCTTAAGCGCATACACCTTCTGCCACAGGAACAAAACCATCTTTTCTTTTGCTCCCCCTGGAGCACAGCAGCTTCATAGTGGTACTGCAGAGCCACTGCTAGAAAAGTGAGTGTGTATGATGCCACCAATATCGGCCGTTGCCAGGGGGGCAGGATTATTCAAAGCTCTTAGGAAGCTGTCAGACTCATGATGTCATCAGCCATTCTAGAAAACAACAAATAATTAAAATTGTGTGTGTCTGTGTACAATTAATCATCTGATTAGTTTGAAAAAGTTCACCTGAAGTGTTGTCTCTCTCTGCTTCTCGTTCCTTCTAACCAATAATCTGTACTGTGACAGTGAGTATCAGCAGTTTGAAACTTAGCCAGGACGTCAGTTCATCTGCCAGTGAGCTAATGCTACCCCTCTAGTCAGCCTCGCTAGAAAAAGGGATACCCTGGGGACTGAAGATGCATCGGGAGTGTAATGGCAACACCTTTGAGCAGAAGACCTTACTGACAGCCTGGAAGTTTGGATTAAAAGCAGCATTTGAAACATGCTTTAAGCTTGGAGGGCACCGCGTGCTTTGAACTTCACTTCAAATCGTGTCCCAAAAAACTCGCACAGCTAAATGCAGCAGAGGGGCTAGGCAGCCTGCTGGCCTGCAGGTGAGTTTGTACATCACAGGCCCCATATACTGCCCCCAAATGCTGCCATGCAAAGATTACCTGACGATTTATAAATGGGAAAGCCTTTCTAAAAAGCGCACATGCTGCAGGCAAGAATGAACTTTAGAGTCCACCTGGTAAATTTTACACCTTTTCGTAGCGTATAATTTCAGTTTGTCCTCACACATACATGTACATTCAACCAGGCCTTCAAAGTATTTTAACTTTTGGTGAAGAACGTGGCAGGAATTAGTAAAGGGTGGTTTTGGCACTTCCAGAGAGAAGCAATAAGCATGACATGAACTGGAGGTTTTTTTTCTGCCACTTCAGAGATGTTTCCAAAAATGCAACTAAACCCCACCTCTTGGCTGCATTTTTTAATACTGCCTTATTTGCATTTGTGTCTATAAAGTGTTAACAACATGAATACAGACGTAACAGTCCTCTCACCTGATGAGTTCATTTGCTGTGGAAAAAGGGAGAAGACCGTGACCCTTTCCTAGCAGTTCAGTTGCAGATCTGCACATTGCAAAAGACTCTGATCAGGCTGGATGACAAAGCTTAAGATCATTCTTCCACTAAGCCGGACAGCCCTTCTAGAGAGTGGACTGCTTCGTGTTTACGGAACACAAATGTTTCAACAAAGAGGATGTTTAGAAGTTGAAATGTAGGCTCTCCAGTTATATACAGTAATCCTATTTTTATATCCCAGCCCTAGTGGGCTTCCTCAGTGTTGCACATATGTGAGTAACGCATAGTTCTGAACAATGTGCTTTGAGTATATAAGCGTGCGTGAACTCTCTTAATTCTGTGGGTGTGTGATAACAGTTGTGCGTGTGGACACACCTACTCCCTGGAAAGTAAGACCGTCTCACATCTGAGGCTTATCTACGGTGCCAAAGCCAATACTGTTCTCATCGTGGCACACGGATGTTTATTTGACTTTTAACACTCCTCTTCCCTCTTTTGGGAGGACGTCATAAAATGGCAGGCAGCTCAGGTAGAATTTATTTATTTATCTAAATAATATTTATAAAACAAATATTTCTAAATAAATAAATACTAAATAAAATAAATAATAAATGTGTAAAGCAGGTCTTTCTTAAAGGTACTTGGAGAGGAGATTCCTTTCCAAATTGAAATTGTCACCCTTGTGATTAAATGGTAGTGTAGTGACCGAAGATAAAAAGCTACTCATCTAGGTCACTGAGATGATTTATGCCCTATATTTGGCCCTAGCAGTTCTTGGTGCACTATGAGAACAGCAAAAGTACCTGAAGTTGAAGGGGCAAGACAGCCTTTCTTTCACGCAAATAAATCCAAAAGACATTTAACAGTACAGAAAGCACTGTGCTCAAAATGAAATGGGGCACCATTCAGCAGTTAGCCAACCCTGTCAAAAACAATTTTTCTATATGACCCAAAATAAAATTGTAGACATTTTGTCTAAAATGGTATAATACAAGCTGTAGCAAACATACACAGAGCAATTCTCTACTCTTGGATTTTAAGAACACCAGATATGAAAGGACTCCCCCTGCCTACGCACACACACACCCAGTTCCCTTCTGTGTTTTTGTTGTCCCTATTAATTCTGAAAGGATGAGCCTGAGCCTTAGCAGTCTGTGTTGTGAGAACATGAGAAATGAGAAAAAGGCTTTTTCTCATCTCCAAGGGCTGAAATAACACTGATGGCCAATTACAGGCATCAGTACTTTTGCCAGTGTTGGCCTTTCGTTACATACTGGTGCTTGTTCTTAGCTGTGCAGAGCCACCACCCCTGAGATGGCTCTCCCCATCAGAGTAGTAACTCTGTTCTGCAAGTAGTCTGCTTGGAATCTCTTTCTGGAGCATGTCGGGCCAGATGTGTGCCTAGAGTCTGAGATTAAGACTCACCGGGGGAGTTAACACACAATAAAATGCCTCTACTCAACACGCATCATAGGATGACGTTTGCACAGTGCAGCTGTGCCACACTGGTAAGTCAGCCTCTGGCTGGGCTGCCAGAGTCCTTGGGGCTGTGGAGGTAATTGAAGTGTCCCCAGCGCTCTCTCCTTGGAGCCCACAGGCACTGCAGCCTGCACGCCTTGCGTGGGCAGGGCACAGTGCAATCCATCCGTTCACTTGTATCCCACTACAGAGCAGCATGGCAGAGCCACTGGCTTGTTAAAGCTGTGATTTTTGTTCCAGTTAGCAGATTTTCAGTTCAAATTGAATGCACTATTTCTGTGAGTGTTGATGGAAGATGCCTTTGATTTAATGCTTGCAGGCCTATGTAGTATGCTGTTGAAGAAGGTAGTAGATGATGAGGATTAGTTTGTGATGCATTCTGCCTCTTAGGTTGGCACTCTTTAAACAGTATGAGGGGCCACAGAGTCACTGCAATTTCTGTGTGCTACCCTGCTCTTAATTACCTTTAAAAGTCCTGACCACTGAGACTAGGTGACAAAGCCAGCCACTTCACATTTATCCCAGCATTGCTCAGGAGCACGTGTGGGAAACTGGAATGTGACAGGAGCAGCTGGAGACTCTACCTAGTGCTGATACAAAGGAAGTAAAGGGTCACGTTTTCATAGCTCTTCTTTGAGGCAGTTTCATAACCTGTCAGCAGTAATTGCAATGAGACCCTGCAGACAAGCATCATGAATTCACATTTAAAAAAGAAAACAACAAACATTATCTATGTAAACATTTGTATTCCACCAGCACAAGTTTCTGCATATCACTTTAGGCCTGAGCAGTGGGACATGACTGTAATGATCAAACGCATCAAGGGAAAACAAAGAAATTAGGGTTTGGTATGTTAGTCTTATTTTTTAACTGTCGTTTATTCCTCAGCATATTGTGACTAAAAGCAGACTGGCTTCCTAGTCTAATGTTTGTTTCTTATTACAGTTGGATAGCGTCACTTCGCTAATTCAGGCTGCCAAAAATTTAATGAATGCTGTGGTGCAGACAGTGAAGATGTCCTATATTGCATCCACAAAGATTATCAAGATTCAGAGTCCTACTGGCCCACGACATCCTGTTGTGATGTGGAGAATGAAGGCTCCAGAGAAGAAGCCCCTAATTAAAAGAGAGAAGCCAGAAGAAATCTATGCAGCTGTCAGAAAAGGTTCTGCAAAGAAGAGAATCCATCCTGTTCAAGTCATGAGTGAATTTAGAGGCAGAGAAATAGTCTAATATTCTGCCTCTTTTTGTGATCCTGTCTCGAATTTCTGATGATTTTTCATCTTTATCCCACTTATTTAATAATTATACATGTTAATGTTTTGCTTTTCTTTAAACCTGTAAGACAACACTTGCTCAAATTATTTGAAAATGCTGTTGGATTAATTAGTAGCACACAATTGAAAAATAACATCCATTCTCTTGCAGTGACACACTGTCATGTCTTTATACCGGCACGTTTTCAGCAGAGCACTTTGAGTGATACGTCATGGGACTGTGCTGTAGTTGGAAAGGAGGATGCAATGTGCCAACCTGCCCAAAGTCATACTGCATTCCCTAGGCTTAGGTGTCCCTTCACCAGGGATGAATGTGGCCAATACTAAACCGCATGTATTTTATGACACACAGCTTTTAAACACTGTACTATTGGCCCAGACCCTTTATCAGCATCATTACACCATGGTCAAATCAGCTGGTGCTAGCTGAGAGTCTGGGCCCTCAACTTCTAGCTAGACTGAAAGATCTAAAGATGTCCCTTCGTCCAAGGCCCAGTCTTGGAAATGGAAGTTTGAAAATGTTTGATGAAACACAAAAAGTGTTACAACAACATGGGTGTAATAATGTAATAATAATAAAAAAGCATTGACTGCAACATAGCAGTAATAATAGCTCTTTAGAAGGCCTTTGGAAACATTAACATTAGTCTCTGTTCTGCTTCCTACTCTATCCCGCGAGCCCTCATAAATCTGCCGACTGTTAGAATTGGAAGTTCAGGTAATCAGATATTAAGAATAAAAAACTTTTCTAAACACTGCAGAAAAGGAAAAGTATGAAATACATCATTATTCTGAGATCAGTATGTGAAATACACGTACGCATATCTTGAATCCCAGGAATGATGAGATTTTTGCAAGGTAACTGTCTGTAGTGATTTAAATTAACTTTTTTTATGACAGAGTCCTAAATGCTGCACCGGTAAGTGACTTGCTAAATGGCTGCACTATATTTCCAAGTATGTAATGAAGATAAGTGCTATTAGTCTGTGCTTACCGCTGCGTTTCTGTAAGATAGTGAAAGAAAACTTTTCTAAATCTGTTTCAATCTGAAACCCACTTGGACTGATTTTTTTTCAAAGAATCGAACTTGTCTTCTGTCATGTCACTGCACCTGCCTAGCACAATGTGTGCAGCAAATACAACCATAAACTGTGGTTTTTTCCTCTTGGGGCCCACTCTGTTTCTAAGCTCAGGACAGTGGAGCAGTATAATTTCTAGGCTGTTAGTTAAGAAACCCCATCAAACCTATAGTGATCATGAATGAAAAATTTCACAGATCACTATTCCACTTTCCCTAACTTTACTATCTGTTAAATGAAACAAAAAGAGACGTTCGGAAGAAAAATTACTTCTTTCCAACTCAAATTCCCTCCAGCATGTTTGCAACAAGATCTTAGTAGCACGTCTGTAGGTCTTTGCTAGTTCTCTTAGGGCTACAGAGCGGGAAGCAGCTGAAAGTCAAGTGGAGCAGGCAGAGGTAATATAGAGCAGGTCATGGTCACAGAACCTACTTTCTGTAGGTCTGCTGGCAGACTGAGCAGAGCTGAGATAAAAGATTCTGTCTGGTATAGAGATCGGGAAAGTACATGACTGTTCACCTTATAGCCAAAACCTCCAGGTAGTATTTCAAATTCTGGCCCACCCCCTTAGACTGCTTACTTCTCCAGCAAGGCTCAGGTCCAGAAGCCAGCAGGTGAGTTGCAATAACCTTGCAATAACCTTGGTTTTGGGGGGGTGTTGCTCTTAATAAATCCTTGTGTCTCTGGGTTGCATCTTTGATATCTTGATGTCACCTTGACATCAAATGTTTGTAACTAATGTCTTGTTACCGCATTATTAATAAAAAGCCTGTACATCACTGAGGAGAAGTCTTTTAGTGTTGTGGGATTTTTGTTACTCCAACACTAGTGAACACCCTGCCTGCCAGGTTTGCTTAGAGGAGTGCCAGCCTTCGGGCACGCTAAGCATACTCTATTAGTCTGGTTTAGGCGAGAGTTTTTGTAGCATTAGTATCACTAAAGCACAGTTCATTGCTTAATTTAATGCTCCTTCCTGCAATGCTAGTTACTACTCTCTTATCTTGGCTGTACTTGATAGCCAGTTTGATCTCAATTTCCAATGCTGTTCCTATTACATAGGAATTTATTAGGCAAAAACCAGTCCTCTAAATGAACAAGAAAATCAAAACCTACTGCTGGTTTTTGAGAAAAGCCAAAAGAATGATGAAGTAATTATATCTAGACTTCTTTTCCTTGGCTAAAGTTCAAACTCAAGTGAAAACATAACAAGGTAAAAGGGGATAATCCTGGAGATGTAAAAAGCTTTTTTGCAAAACTGCTTCTTAAAATGATAAAGATGCACTAACATTATCAATGAAAAAATCTTCCAGATTTTGTGTTGTACACAAAGTTGTATTGCTGCAATGAAAAATGTCACCTTTCAATTAATAAACTGCAACTCTTTGGAAACTTGTTTGGCAGTTAAGAAAGAAACTTAAGCAGAAACGTCTTAAGAGTTATGTAAAAACAAACCAGGAAAATGTTTTAAAGACCCTGTTGTCTAATGTGAACGGGAGAAACTTCCTGCTACGCTCAAAGGAATTGAGAGCTGAGGGGCTAATTTTTGATTCCAGCCTACAAGAAATAGTTGAAAGTTGCAAGAGATGGATCCAGCAATTTTATTTTTAAGGAGTTTTTTACAGGATAGAAAATACTAATTTTCTACTTCCTGATGGTGAAAATGACTGCATTTAAGCAGGCTGGAGACTACAGAGATACCTTGCCATGCAGGATGTTTCCTCTGGACTCTCAAGTCTTCTATCAACCTTACCGTTTTAGAGCCATTGACTTTTCTGCTGTAGTTCTCAATTACTTTCACAGAAGACAGCAAATGATTTAACAGCAGCTGAAATAGTCTTGTAAGTTCATTAGCTGTGAGGCAGACTGTGCCTTTTTGGCACTGCTCTTTCAGGGAGACAGGAGCAGGATGTTAAGGGAGCTGGTGCTAACTGCTCCAGCAAGCCTGCTAGTAGGTATGCTGTCTGCTTCATTCCCAGAGCTCCCTTACTGGATGGAAACATGATAGGAAATGGCTCCCACACTTTCAAAATACAGAACAAAGCACCAAGGTCTGCTTGCCCAACTAGCCAGCATGGCTGAAGGGATAGGAGAAAGGAAGAAAACAAACTTCTTTGTGTTTTTCAGCTTCTCTCGTGGAGAAAGACAATGAGTCAAACAAATGTTTTCTCCAGGAAAGCAGAATTTTCCTGGAGTCAAGGCTTTATAAGGATCAAGGGAAAAAACAGCAAGAGGCTCTTGTATACCTTCCTCTCCCTCTGCAAACCCGATCTAGTCCTCTGTTTTCTCTGTCCTAAATTTGCTCCTAATTGCAGATTTTCTAAGTATAAATTCTGCGTCATTCACCCAGCTGTTATTTTACAGCAACTGATGCACATATCGGAAGCCTTTCTACCAGTGATTCGCACCGATTAATTGTTTCATACTACTACTTATTTGAGGTACTAAGGACCTCACCCAGCAAGCTGCAAAGCCGAAACCCTCAGTGAGTCTCTCAGAGCCTGGACAGGGCAGCGACCAAAAGAAGGAGGCAGCAAACCATTCCTACTGCTAGTGCATAAATATTTTGTGTGCAAAAATGTTGTGTGGCTTGTACCATATTTCTCTGCTCAGTAGTGACTGCTGCACAGTCACAACTAAGCCCTCCTCCAGAGGAAAGGGAACAGCATTCCAGATGTAACAATGTAGATGGTACCTAGTCACACATTAAGATTCAAGCTGTCATGGCAGGCGACCTATTTAGGCACCAGCAGCTGAGGTCCTGCACATTTGGGATGTGGCTGCTTTCACAGCTTTCTATATTTTGCCCTTTACTGTCAGGTGTGGGAATAGGCTTGCTTAGACTAGCACTTTTTCTTATTGTTCATCATCTGACCCGTTGTAACTATACTGTGCAGACTCTGTGTCCTCCAGAGGAGCCACAGCTCATACGATGTTCAGGAATTTAATGGGGAGTGGGTCCTCAGTGGCTCCACAGAGGTGCTTGGCTTGCTTGTCTGCAAGGTTAGCCAAGAAAGAAGGAGAGAAACCACTGAATCCCTTCCCCACAAACTCCTACCATTATTTGTATGCAGTAACCAAGTAACCCACCTGTCCTATTCCCTTCTGATACATCTTTTAATTTCCATCTATTCTATTTTCCTGTCTTTTTGATATTTATGCTCTGCCTTAGCATTAGCTTCCTGTCTCCTGTCCTGGGCACTGCAACTTCTTTAAACAAAAGAACAGCATGCAGGTTTCCAGCACCTCCACTGCCATTATTTCCCGAGATACTGTTTCAAAGATCTTCTTCTCAAAACACTACAACAAAAGAAGGAGAAATGGTGTGTGGCCAGCTCAGCACCCGGGCTAAATCAGCACAGCTACGTTGAGTTCACCGGTAAAACATCTACTTGACAGTAGTTACTGTAGTCCTTCCTCTATAGCAGCTCTCTAAAAATGTTATCCCTCATTCAGGCTGGCTAAGGCACATCAGTCACACTGAAGATCGCTTTTGAACGCATAGAAAACATACATATGCTCCTCAAAAGAACATATGTCTCCTTTGCCCTTTCCTCTTGCTGCATTTCAAACAACTTGTCTTTATTTAGGCATGTCAGGGCCAACTTTAAAATACCAAAATACGAAGGTTATTAACACAGCAATCCAAAGGGCAAAGAGCGTATTGGTGTGATGAGCTGTTGAGTCAGTGGGTGGTGATGGCACATCCTCCAGCACTCTAATATGATAATGCCTAGGCTGAAAACTCCATGAATTTGCTGCATCACCAACAACTGAGGACCAAAGCTGACAGCCAATAATACACGAGTCCAGTGTAAGCAAAATACACGCACAAACAAACCTTCCCATCACTTCCTAAAATACTAACAGCAGAATACAA